GAGGAGAAGGGTGGGGGCATGAGGGCGCTGATGTGAGGAACAGATTGGAGCCTTCCCACTTCCTCTCCAATCTCAGCCCCCGGGAGGAGGGGTGAGGCCCGCGAGGGGGCCCCGAGTTAAGGAGGACTTGACCGTTTCGCTCGCTCGCCCTCCTCTCTCCCTCCGCTCTGCCTCCCCACTCGGAACTGGCCTCGGGGTGCAGAGGCAGACGTCCAGGGCGGAGGCTGGGCAGCCCTGCGCGGGGTATGGCCGGGAAGGCGCCGCGGCTGCAGGGAGAGCATTTCTGGGGAGGACTTTAAAAAGCAGTTGGGACCAGGGTTAGAGTCTACGCTGTAGCTTTTCAAGAAACCCAAGCGCATTATTTGAAGAGCAACTCTCTGATTCTAGTTCTCATCTATTTTCCAGCTAGTCTGGGTGGGTGTGACGGTCTGTAGAAGTTAGACGCCTTTATTGCACTTGCACATTTTGTCTATGACTTGAATGTGTATAAACAACGGAGCTCAGCAGAAAAGTTACCTTCCAGTACCATTCTCCCTCCTCCCTAATTTGGAAGTTGCATCGTTTTCTCTACAGGTTTTCGTACTCTCGAGTGTAAGAAGACTAAAAAAAGACTGTCAATTATGACAGCTCTTGTGACCTCTGGTAATTAGCGAATTAATCGCTCCTGAGTGCTCCGTAAAGTGCTGCAATTTAATGAACATTAGCACACTAAAGCCAATACATAGCTGTAAGGTATTTCAATATTCTTCCATGCCAAAAATCTAATTGTTTATCTTGGATCTTTAACTTAGAAGCCTCAGTGGATTTTTTTTTCAATAAAATAAGCTGTGCAACTCTTTTTCTTTTTCCATAGCAAATATGTTAGGCTTTTTAAAAAGTAGAGCTGAGGTCAGCTACATTTGAAACTCAGAATCACCCCAAAGAATGACATGGCTTTCCAGCAACAAGGATGAAGTAGAGAAGATAACTGTCTTCGTGTGTGGTGTTAAAGTGCCACGACAGTTTGTAAGTTAGCAGTATGAAGAAACGTAAAGTTCCAACATTTATGCTATTTCTTTCTCTCTTTCTAAGAAGATGTAGTCTGGCACCTCCCTTAAGAGTATGAGTTCTAGGACACAACATTGTAAAATGATTATAAATCAATAAAAAATGTTATTAAAAAAAGAAGAAGAAAAGAGTATGAGTTCTAGAGTCAGAATGCCTGGCTTCAAATTCCAGTTCTGCCACTTTTTTAGCCAACTTACCCAATGTCTCAGTGCTTGAGTGTCTTTATCTATGAAATGAGGATGGCTGCACAGCATTATTGTGAGAAGAAATGAGTTAATACAAGCAAGCCCTTAGAGTGGTGCCTGGGTCACATAATGCACATGTGTGAGCATTAGCTGCTGCTCACTTTGCTGTGCTCTTGTTAATACAATCTACCCTTTGTCGCTTTCTCTCCACCTCTGGTTTTCAGTGTTCTCATTTTCAGTTCTCTTAAGGGCTCTAGCGGAATCTCAAACACCTATCAAAATAAAGTTCACTCTCATTCAGCCCAACAGTAGGTTTTTTTTTTAATGTCATAAGATGTTTAGTGTGTATTTAGTGGAGAGACATGCCTAAATCATACACAAAATCAGAAACTCCAAAGAATTTTAAAATCATTGCCTTCCCACTCTCATTTTCCCACAAGCCTGAAAAAAAAAATCACCCCTCCTATTGTTAATTTTGGATGATTCTCAGATCAACTCTGACTCACGCAGGAAGCCTTTCTAGATAAAGTGGGTTGATTGAGAAGTCTGCCTTCCCACAAACGTCTGTTTCTAGACATTATTTCTATACCCCCCCTTAATCCCATACCCATCAGTCTACCCAATGAGAAAAGACTATCAAAAATAAAATTTCCAGTAACATCCTGACCTTAAGACAAAGCCAGTAATGTAAAAGCTGTTAATAAGTATTACACAGTATCAAGGCACTGTCAGGATCATGTGATTGTTGTGTTGGCTTACATGGCTGATCCTGGATTCTGGGTGTTGTGTGATGTGTTTGTTCAAGACTTCATGGTTTAATCAACTTATGGAATGGCTACTATGTCAGAAGTAATGTGCTACACTTTTTATTGTGGATCCAAATGGTAGTCATAAGTAGATAAAAACTTATTTGAAAGATAATGTATGAAATGTCTCAAAAATAAAATAACGTGCAGAACAGGTATGGAATAATACAGATCTTCCACCTGTAAACTGTCAACTACTCCCTTTGATTGTATCATTCCCTCATCCATTTCCTACACAATCTGTGTCAAGTGTTTGTTTTCCCAGCTTTCCTATGAAGCCTCCCCTAATCAGTTGGACAGAAGTCCTCCCTCTAATGCCCATTCACACAACTTAGCACTTCACCTTAATGTTTTGTTTCAAAAGCTTATTAGTTCTGTTGCACACTGTCTCATTGTGTTTTATGACTGTCAGTGTGTTTGTTGATTTATCTTCCCCCCCTTCACATTCCACACCAAGTTCTGTCACTGCTACCTCCAAACTGTTTCCTAGGTCTGACTACTTCTCAACCCTGGTCCAAGCCTCCATCATGTCTCTACTGGACAGCTGAACTTCCTGCTTGCATACCTGGCTGCTTACACAGTAGCCAAAGTGAACTTGGTATTTTAAAATGTTTTTCCTGTGAAATATAACTTACATATAGAGGACTACACCAAATATACAGGTACAACTCCTGTATGAATTATTATAAAGCAAATACTACGTAGCCACCACCCAAGTCAGAAAACAGAATATAGCCAGCACTCTAGGAACCCCTCCCTAAAACCCCTTCCCAGTGTTAACCCCTCTCTCCCTTAAATGAAGATAGCCGCTATCCTGACTTGCCTTTCTTAATAGTTTTACCACTTTATTATTCATCTCTAGAAGTTTTCCCTGGTTTGGAAAATTTTAGAATTGAAATCACATGTATTCTGTGTCTGGTTTCCTTCACTCAATATTATGTTTTTAATTAAGATTCATCTATTCTGTATGAGGCTGCAGTTTATTCATTTTTGTTGCTGTAAAACACTCTGTTTTATGAATATATCTCATTTTATTTATCCATCCTACTGTTGAATCTTTGGGTTGTCTCTAAATTAGGAGATTATGAATAATGCTGCCACAAACATTCTTGTACATGTCTCCCAGTGCATATGTGCAAGAGTTTCTGCAGAATATATACCTCCCCCTCCCTTCTTTTCTTCCTTCTTCCCGTGTGGATACACAATTACTCCAACTCCATTTACTGAGAAGACTATCCTTTCCTTCCCTCTTTTGCAATGCCGTCTTTGACATAAATCAAGCCGTCCATATGTGCGTGGGTCTATTTTGGGCTCTGCGGTTACACCGGTCTATTTATCTGTTTTTCTGTTTGTGTTCCTTGAGGGAATATCACACTGCCTAACCAGTAGGTCACACTGGCTTTATGATATGTCTTCTGTCAAATATAGAATGTCCCTCCTCCTCTTCCTCTTCTTTCTCCTCCTTCTTCAAGTGTGGCTTGCTATTCTTGATACTTCATATTTCCATAGACACTTTAGAATGAGTTTGTCAAATTCTACAGAAAAAGCTGTGGGTGTTTTGACTGGTATTACATTGAAACTATGGACCAACTTGAGAAAAACTGACATCTTTATAATTGGTCTTCCAATCTGTGAAAGTGGTATATCCCTTCATTTATTTAGTTTTTAGTTTCTCTCAGTAAAGGTTTGTAGTTTTGTGCATACAGGCGTTATACATATTTGTTTGGTTTATTCCTAGGTAGCAGGTATTTTTAACACTCTTGTAAATGATATCATTTTTTAAAATTTTTATTTTCTAGTTGTTTTTGCTGGTATATAAAAATGTGATTGATGCTTTTATGTTGATTTTGCATCTAATA